AAACCATATAAAACTCTCAAAAATCTTGGAGGCTTAGAATTTGGTCAGAAGTATTTTATCCAGGCTAGTAGAAGAAACTTACAGTCTGAGATGGTAGGGTTTGTTTTCTCATGACCAGAAGACCTAAACAAAGAGCTTAGGTTTGGTCTGGAAAAGAAATCAAGATAGAACTGAAAAGACAGGTTTCTCAGATGTTACATTCAGGCAGTCAGACCTGACAAGTGTTTGTCTGGATGGGGCAGAGTAGATCCTAGTACAGTTCTGCAGGTTTCTGACCAGGCCATAGAACAGACTCTAAGAAAGCTTCACCAGGCCCTGGGAATATTCTCAACAGTTTCAGGACCAAGTTGAGTAAAAGACTGTTGCTGAAGTTGAGTATCCATGATCTGGTCTTTAACAGCGTATTTGGAGATAGTAAAAGCAAGATGCCTAGTATTGCCTCACATATACCAGAGTTTAGAGAATGAGCTCAACTGAGTCATTTCCCAGCTCCACACTTGAACTTCCTCTTCCACTAGCTTATGTAAATTTCATTGAGCTATTATAAAGTTAAGAGTTTGGGCATCGAAAAGTGATTTGATAATGGTAAGTTCTGTCCATCTGAGTCATCATCCTTTATTGTTCTGCATCACTCTTCCTAATCTGAGTCACAGGAATGCCTACTGCTTCTATGTCATTTAATGGAAATACATCCCAGACTCCTCTTAAAGCCAAGAGCATCTTCCTTAAAGTCTTCAGTGGAAGATCTGGAACTGTGCTATGCAGTAGTGGAGAGCTTTCTCTTGTAGATGATGCGGAACTCAGATAAGTTATCTAAGTTGCCTATGGCTTTGACTCCATGATAGAGCTCAAGAAAGCAGCATGTGTATTTTCAGCAGTTGACCAGTTCCAAAGTATGAGAAGAAGCCGTCAAAATGTCTTCCATTTCACTAGGGATATAAGGAAGTTCTGTTGTGGAGTTGTGACCTTGAGCCAGGAGGGGGAAACTTGGGCAACAGCTTTTGCCAGAAAAAAAAGAAGTCAAAATTTGTTTTAAAATATCTTGCTAGATACCAGGAAGGTGGTAGGACATGCTGCTGAGAAAGCATAAGTCTCTAGAAAACCCATTCTAGAACTTCCATGTCTGATTTTCAACTGTAGTATGTTTCACCATGAACTCACTTAGCATCAGCTCTAAAGTCCTTGGATGCTCTGCTCTAATGAAGTCCTCCTTGTCGTAATACAGGATTGTCGCTTAATACACAGAAAGTTGCCTTGTGCCACAGGTTTCTCTTACAGCACCTTTCAAGTAGACATTTGATTTTCCTGGTACTCACAGGATAGGGAGTGGCTAAAAGCCAACATACCTTAACCAAATAAACATAACCAAAAGCAAAAGAGGCTGGTCTGAAGACCTCTACCCAGAAGGCCTCAGGCTATTTCAAAGATTATCAGGTAGGAAATTCCATCAGGTGAGAGACCAAAATACAGTCCTATTTCTCCCACTGAAGTATACAAAAAGAGGCAATTTAACCTAGTTGGTGAGCACAGGGTTGAGTTAGGACCCATATTCTGAACTTAACATTGCCCATGGTCAGTGTCATTTAACTCTTAGAGGGGTCACTTAACCTTTCTGTGTCTCAGTTTCCACATCTTTCAAAAGGAAATAAGAAAGTATCTTCCTCACAGTATTGCTAGGATAAACAAAGAGATAAAATGGAATTATCTATGTAAAAAAACCTATTTAAAAAGTAAACACACACATACAAAGTATTATTATCATTATTCTATGATGAAGTATTCAAAATATTTAGTATTCTCAAGCTTCACACCTCTGCCCTATCCAACCAAACTTCAAAGCAACGAATTTCCTCAAAAAGAAAGTTGAGCCAGGCTCATACTTGTAATCCTAGCTACTCAGGAGGCTGAGATCCAAGGATCGCAGTTCAAAGCCAGCCTGGGCAGGAAAATCTGTGAGACTCTTCTCTCCGATAAACCACTAGAAAACCAGAAGTGGTACAGTGGCTCAAGGTAGAGCGCTCGCCTTGAGCTAAAGAGCACAGGTACAGTACCCAAGCCCAGAGTTCAAGCCCCACAACTGACAACAACAACAACAAAAAAGAAAGTCGACATTTTTTTCTTATTTCAATAACTATCTGTATAGTTCTGTACCTCTCATTGTCCACACAAAGGTTCCCTGGGCCAGGATGACAACCTTAAAGCTCCTTTATCTGGGAGTCCAAGCCTTAAAGAAGTCTAGAAACCATCTGAAAAGAAATACCATCCTACCCTCCAAACTTTGGCATGAGACCCCCCAGTCCCATAAGGGTCACAGATGCTCAAAAAGTCCCCAGGACTTTTACTAACCCACTGCCAAACCTGCAGCCACACAGAGGACCCTATGGTCCAGCATATTCTGACCTCTAAAGCAGCTGTCTTCTAGTCATCTTCTAACATATCTTCCAAGGGAGAACATCAGCAATTCAAAACTTAACTTACTCCTCCCTATAAATATTTTTTTTTTGTTTGGAGTTTGTTTTTTGTTTTTGTTTTTGTTTTTTGCCAGTCCTGGGGCTTGAACTAAAGGCCTGGGCACTCTCCCTAAGCCTCTTTGTGCTCAAGGATAGCCCTCTACCATTTGAGCCACAGAACCATTTCTGGCTTTTTTGAATAGTTTATTAGAGTTAAGACTCTCACAAAACTGACATCCTCAAATCTCAGCCTCCTGAGTAGCTAGAATTACAGGCATGAGCCACCTGCACTCTGCTTACAAAATGTTCTTTTCCCCTGCTCCCATTCCAATGAGCCAAGAGAGATATGGGTGTGGAACAAAAGGACTTGTTCTTGAAATCAGACACTGAGTCTAAAACTCTTGTAATCTGATAGCACTTGAAATCTTTGCTTCCTCTTCATTCCTAGGACAACTGATTAGATTCGAGTTCCTATTTCTCCTCTGTACTATTCTAGTATACTGCCAAAGTGACCTTTCAAATTTAACTCAGACCTTTCTTTGCTGAAAATCCTTCAGTCATTTACCCCTGTCCCCAAGTCTGAATTCCAATTGCAAATTCATTGTAAGGCTTTCCAGTCAGTCTTGTTCAATCTCCAGTGTATCTCCTATTCCTAATAAGCCAAATTATCTGAAACCCTCCATGAGCCCCAGGCTTTCTTTCACTTTTGGACCTTCTAGGTTGCCAATTCCTTCTAAACTAACTTATTCTTCCTTTCCTTCCTTCACTAATGCAACTTCTTTCTCCTATTTCAATTCTTGGGTTTGTTTTGTTTTGTTTGTTTTTGGTCAGTCGTGGGGCTTGAACTCTGGGCTTGGGCACTGTCCCTGAGCTCGTGATCTCAAGGCAAGTATTCTACCACTTGAGCCACAGCACCAATTCATTTTCTGGTGGTAAACTGGAGACATGAGTCTCACAGACTTTCCTGCCCAGTCTGGCTTTGTACTGTGATCCTCAGATCTAAGCCTCCTGAGTAGCTAGGATTACAGGTGTGAGCCACTGGCACCCAGCCTTCTCTTTCAATTCTTAACTTCAAACCATGTCATATAGTGTTTTATGAACCCTCTCTCCCAGAGTTAGGTGCTTCATTGGCTCATACTCCAAAGATTATCTCAGCACTTTATCATGATTAATTGTTTTGCTTGTTTATCACTCTTGCCAGACAGTAAACTCCAGTGTGAGTCTGACTTCTTTATCAACCAATGTATGAAGAATGTTTGCATGTGAGTTTTGTGTGTGTGTGTGTGTGTGTGTGTGTGTGTGAATGAATATATAAATAGATGCATGATGATCTTAGTATAAGAAGTTAAACCACTGAGAGTTAAACCACAAAAGAGCCTATTTACAGCACCGCTGGGTGAAATCATTTTCAAAAGGATAGGACAGAACAGGTACAGACAAAAGGCCACTAATATGAAATGGCTGATCAGATTTCAAGAGTCATTAGGAATTTCCAAATTAACCTTTCATTTTGCCACTTCTTCCTTTTCTAAACTCTATTCTGTAGTACCACAGAGACTGACTGATCTAAGACATGGTGGTGCTATTGGGAGAACCTGATGAGCAACTAGCAGAACTGGGCTTGCAGAGCCAGAGGGGTACTATAGGGTTAGAGAATAAGGTGGAAGGGTGAAAACTGGCTGATAGAGTATGAAGAGCAGGACTGTGTGGAAGTACAAGGAAGACTAAGGTAACAAGTTTGAGAAGAAACAGGATAAGTAGAATAGGGTCACAGTACCCAGGCAGGGTTGAACGCAGATTATTACAGTACTAGGTTCCAGCTAGGAGGAGGACAGGGCAAGGCATATAGGGTATGGGTGAGAGTTGAGAGCTGAGTAGTTGTGGGAGTCTGGGTTACTGCCAGAGTGAATGAATACTTCCACCAAGAGGGTAGGTGAATTGATAGGAAGGTCTCTGGATCACCATCTTCCGAGACGTCCCTCAGCTATCTCTCTTCAAGACAACCTGTTGACAACCCACTCAACAAATTCCATTGATTCAAATTCTAATGCCAACCATTTTTCAGTGGGGGAAAATATTTTCCCTATTTTCATTTCAGAAAGGAAAAGGGTTTAGCTTTGGATTCTAAAAGATTTCATTTTAAGTAAACCTCAGCTTTTTCTTCTGCTAGCTATGGGCCCTGGACTTCAGTTTCTTAGTTATAAAATGGCCCCCCTCATAAAACTGTTGGGGGGATTGAGACAATGTTTGTGAAGCACCATACATAGTCCCAAACAGCAAATTCCAGTTAATCTATTCTCTTTTCCTTTCCCCTTAGACAATACATGAGCCCCGCAGGCCCTATGATAATTGTTTATTAAGGAGTGCAGATAGAGGTAAAGAAGGATCTGTGCTCCTAATTCACTAGGACAGAAGGCATGAGTCAGGGCTCTGAAGCATCCAGGGATGGAACAGGGATACTCCTCCCCCTACCCTGTCATCCTCATCCAGGTGACTGGGGTCTTTGCTGGTTGAGGGTCCCACATCAAGGAGAGGAGACTGTGTTAGTACCTTTCTCACCACATTTGGAGAGGAGTGCTGGGTGTTGTTATCCATTGTGGGAACACTGTGAGGAGTTTCCTCCCCAGCTGTCTGGGGCAAGGAAGTAGTAGTCTTGTCAAGAGGAAGAGCTGGCTTTGGATCCTCAGATGCTGGAGGCTCATCTGTAACCTAGAAAAGAATTGGGGTAGGTTTCACTACAGCAGCAGCAAGGGCCAGTGCCCACTGTATCCTGCCCATTTGTCAGGACCTATACATTATGAAGTGTTTACATTTTTTTCAAAAAGAAAAATAATCTTAGGCTAGGGGGCATAACTCAAATAGTAGTGTCTACTTAGTATGCACAAGGCCCTGAGTTCAAACCCCAGTACTGTCAGTCTTCCTAAGAGTATATCCTCATATGACAATCTTACAACAGAATCCAAACCAAGCATTCTGAGCTAACGCTGTCATAGTCACTTTAATAATCATAAAATAGGGTCCTTTTGTTGATTTGTCTTTTGTTGTTAGTTTTGCCGTGATGGACATCAAAACTTAGATCTGATGCATGCTCGGCAAGTACTCTACCACTAAGCTATATTCCCACCCCATATCAGAGCTTGTGGCTCTCTATGAACCTCAGACACTTCTGTGTCATCATAGGGATTATCCTACACCCCCTCTCAAAAGAACTAAGCCTCAGGGAACAACATTTGAAGCATTATCTGAAGTTGCCAATTATAAAGCTCAGATGTGAAGCTTTATCATTTTTAGGAATCAAAAATGGTCTTTGAAGATGTAACTGTAATTATAGATTTAAAAAAGACAATTCTGCGGAAAAAATGAGAAGGGGTAGATCAGGAAAAAGAGAAAAGCAGGATCTAACAATGAAGAGGTGGAAAGCAACAAAGACTCCAGAGATACAAACCGTGCTTTTTCAATAGAGAAAACAGAAACAGCATCCAATATTTCCCTAAGGAAGGCTAGAGGTGTAGCTCAAGTAGTAAAGTGCCTATCAAGCAAGTACAAGGACCTGAATTCAAACCCCAGTACAACCAAAAAGTAAAAGTGAGACAATACCCAATAAGGAAAGACTGAGGCCTCTTTTCTGTGGTGTTACAAAAAAAAAGTCAGCAGAAGCTGGGTGCCAGTGGCTCACGCCTGTAATCCTAGCTACTCAGGAGGCTGAGATCTGATGATCGCGGTTCAAAGCCAGCCCGGGCAGGAAAGTTGGTGAGACTCTTATCTCCAATAAACCACCAGAAAACCGGAAGTGGTGCTGTGGCTCAAGTGGTAGAGCGCTTGCCTTAAGCTGAAGAGCCCAAGGACAGCGCCCAGGCCCAGAGTTCAAGCCCCACGACAAAAAAAAAAAAAAAGTCAGCAGAAGTGGATCCAGGTCTCAGTTCTCCTTTTCAGCACTGTGTGATCCCTAGGCAAACTGCTTGACTACTCTAACCCACATTACTTATACATGGTAATGTTGACCAAACAATGTTGCTGATGAAATAATTTGTACATATAAAATGTGCCTACCTTAGTAGACTTGAAATTGTTAGCCTAACCTCCTCTGCCTTAGGAGCCACTCCACTATCATAGGCCCTGCTGTAAAGTGTGGCCTTTCCTGAAATCCAGTGACATAGGCCTTTCTCTAAAACTAGCTGACTCAGGCCTTATTAGATGACATAGGCAGCTGCAGCCATAAACCTTAGCCCTGCCACAACAAAATGCCCCACTCTCACACACCTCACCAACTTCACATTGCACACAAACCAGACTGCAGAGTACTCCCTGCCTCTAGTGAAATTCTCCACCCCCAGCCCCCTAGCCATATAAACCCCCTCGCTCAAAGACAAGTGCGGTCCTTGTCCAGAGGGTCAGCCTATAAGCTTGCTGACAATAAACTTTGCTGTATGTGACTTGGTGTCCTTGTAGTCTTCTGAGATGAGGCTTTCAGAAACAAAAATTAAGTTTACCCCTGTGCAGTGTGAAAAAAGTGATGCCTACTAGGATCTAATACATACTCTCCCCCTACACCTTGAGTTCTCCCCCACTTCCCTCACTGTATGCAACTTCTAAGTTCCAGCAAGGAGTCTGGGATGTTACAAAGATAAGAGTCAACCTTCTTTTGCCATGGCACTGGCAGGAGTCCCACACAGCTCAGAAAGTGCTTGCTATGGACAGGGCCAAGCTAGGCCACTCTGGAGAGTACTGATTCCAGAACTCAGATCTATGTTAGGATTAATACTATGTTCTTTGTAGCTTTGCTGAGCTAGGAGTTGAATCTATGGTAGTTCTGAAATGTGAAGGTTCAGCTCAAGACCACCCTAAGATGAATAAGCTGTTTCATGTATCACTCTATAACCAAGGACACAGAGTTCCCTGAACATCCTAGTCCACGGCAGCTCACCTGTAGGGTGTCCTCCTGACTCTGGGACTGGACAGGTGCTGGCTGCCTCACAATGTAGTTGATCTGCCCCACAATGGTTTGCTGAAGATGCTGAGGTGATTTGGTCTGACTCAACTGCAGGCTGGGCTGCTGAGCCTGCAGGAGAAGCTCCAAGTCCTTCTGCATCTCCTCCAGCTCAAACTTGTGGTGCATTATATCAACATTCTGGGAACAGGCAGGCCCAGGAGGGTTCTCGTGCTGACCGGAAGCCAGATGTTGGGATGGAGGCAGAGGTGGGGGTGGCTGCTGTGGGGGAGGTGGGGGTGGAGGTGGCGGAGGTGGCAGCTGCTGCTGTGGCTGTTGCTGAAAATGACTGAGCTTCAGCTTCTGGTGGTGGCCAAACTGGACTTGGATGGAGGGTGCCTGTAAGGTGGACTGGGCATGGGCTGCTTGCTGAATGTCCTGTGGGGGAACGATGCACACTGGCTGTGAAGTCAGGTGCTGCCCTGGCCTCTGGGGTGTGCTCTCTTGCTCTGCAGAGGGCTGGGTTTCTAGCCAGGGCTGCATCAGCTTGGGAGGATGAGGACTACAGGCTAGTTCCTTCTCCCTGGGTAGCACAGTCGGGCACTGCAATGACCCTAGCTGGTGAGGCATCATCTCAGAGGGCTGCCTAAAACTGTGGGCCGGATGGATACTGGGTGGGGGGACCTGGCTTTTGAGAGAAGACGAGACTGGGGAACAGTGGGAGCAGCATACAGATGAGGAACATAGTGCTGAAGGTTGAAACTTGTGTGAGGGGTGACTGAGAGCCTCTTGCTGAGCCACTGGGGACCGGTGGCTTGGATAAAAGGATGGAGGTCCCTGTAAGCCCCCATAAGCAGTGGTATCTGTGCGGGACAGTTGTCCACCTTCAGCAGTTATGCAACCTGGAAATTCAGAGGATAGAAATGTTCTCAAGATTATGTACAATTGTACTCCTCACTCCCACTACTTCTTGCTTCTAGGACCAAAGGACACCATTCAACAAATGTGTATCAGGCATAGAGATTAAGAAAATCCAACCTGTAATCTCTAAGACTCCATCTAAAATGCTGATAGGAATAGCACCTGTATAGTCCTGCTTTGATGGCTGGGGATATTTGAGGGATTGGCTTAGGCCTGACTATTTCTAGCCCACAGGCAAACCAGGGCTTCTTCACATAGCACCCACTCCTCTTTATTTTTTTAACGATTTATTTTTTTAAGACTCTGACAGAATGAGCATTGAGGGTTGGGAGGGAACATGCTAGAAAGTAGTAAAGAGTATAGAGTTGGGGGCTGGGAAGGTGGCTCAGTGGTAGAGCGCTTGCCTTGCATGCCTGAGGCCCTGGGTTCGATTCCTCAGCACCACATAAGCAAAAAGAAAAAAGCTGGAAGTAGTGTTGTGGCTCAAGTGGTAGAACGCTAGCCTTAAGCTGAAGAGCTGAGGGACAGTGCCCAGGCCCAGAGTTCAGGCCCTGCAACCGGACCCAAAAAAAAAAAAAAAGAGTACAGAGTCATTCCTGGGACAAAGTCTCCAGATACAAGTCTGGGTAACCGTGTGTTAGGTAAATCATATGGAAGAGGTTAAGGAAGCTCCCATGCCAGGTCAGTGCCTGGCACCAGCACTGCCCTCTGAAGTCTCTGGACTCCATGAGTAGATTATATCTATTCGTCAGCCAACTCCTTCAACCTTTTTTTTTTTTTTTTTTGCGTATCAGTCCTGGGGCTTGAACTCAGGGCCTGGGATTGTCCCTGAGATTCTTTTTTTTTACTCTTTTCCTCCTGCACTCTACCTTGAACCATAGTGCCACTTCTGGCTTTTTCTGGGTAATTTATTGGAGATAAGAGTCTCATGGACTTTCCTTCCCAAGCTGGCTTCAAACCACAATCTTCAGATCTCAGCCTTCTGAGTACAAGGACTACAGGCATAAGCTACTGGCACCTGAGTAACTCACTGCTTGCTTACAAGAAGACTAAGTCATCCAGGCACCGGTGGCACACACCTGTAATCCTAGCTACTCAGGCTGCTGAGATCTGAAGATCACAGTTCAAAGCCAGCCCAGGCAGGAAAGTCCGTAAGACTCTTATCTCCAATAAACCACCGGAAAACCATAAGTGGCATTGTAGCTCAAGTGGTAGAGTACTAGCCTTGAGCTGAAGAGCTGAGGGAGAGAACCCAAGCCCAGAGTTCAAGCCCCACAACCAACAAGGGAAAAAAAAAAAAAGAAATCTAAGACCCTTAAGGACAGAGAACATGTGTAGATACTGTGCTTAAACTGAGGCCTGGGCATATTCTCCCTTGGCTTTATAACGCAAAGCTGGTATTCTACTACTTGAGCGAGCCATACCTCCACTTCTGGTTTGTTTTTTTTGTTTTGGGGGGGCATTTTTTGGTGGTTAATGGAAGATAGAATCTTCATGGACTCTCCTGCCCAGGCTGGCTTTGAACCATGATCCTGAGATTTCAGTCTCCTGAGTAATTAGGATTATAGACATGAGCCACTAGCACCAGACAATATTTTTGATTCACTTTTTTTTGGGGGGGGGGTCCGGTCATGGGGCCTGATCTCTGGGCCTGGGCACTGTCCCTCAGCTCTTCAGCTCAAGGCTAGCGCTCTACCACTTGAGCCACAGTGCCACTTCTGGGTTTTTTCTTTTTGCTTATGTGGTGCTGAGGAATCGAACCCAAGGCCTCATGCATGCAAGGCAAGCACTCTACCACTGAGCCACCTTCCCAGCCCCTTGATTCACTTTTTGTCCTTTAGTGCCCAGCACAGGCCACAACCTATTGCAAGGCCTACCAAAGATCTGCTAAATTAAATGAAAGGAGAGAGGGAAGCAAAAAGTAAATCTAATATTATTTATCACTTTGCCAAGTTCAAGAAACTTTCAATGAAATTAACAACCTAAAATGAAAGCAGCAGTTAGGTAATTAATTTAAGAAGCCCATTAACCTGTCAACACAAACACAACTTCAAATTCTCTATATTCTGCCTAAAGATTTTATGCCAAAAAATTTCTGAAGCATGGAAGAAAAATATACAAGGTCATGGATTATCTTCTTTCATCTCAACCCCAAAGGATGTGTGTGTAATATACAAGCATACAAATCTCAGTATTCTGAGATGCCCCTGCTTGTATCCACACACATATACTCTGTGAGGCTATATACACACATTCACCTGCACTGCCATACAGCATTCTGGAGAGCAGGGCCACTTTCTTGTCTCTTCTCTAGCAATGAAACCAAGGTAACAGGGGGAACATTCATAGAGAACGAGAAATTCAGATTTTAAGTGGTGGTGTTTCAAAGTCTTATATTGCCAATGTTATTTAGCCTTCACACACACACACACACACACACACACACACACACACGTTTTGCTGAATGACCCCATCACCATTGGCAGTCTCAAAAATGCTTTCTTTGGGTATATGCTAACCTACCTAGTTCACCTTCTAAACATTAGATTGCCTACATTTATTCTTGTCAATTAGATTAAATTTCACAAATGGTCCTGGCTTACCAAGGGAAGCCAGCTGCTTGGTCCAGAAGTTCGGCTCCCATGTGAATCTGATACTCCAAGGAGACCCAGGATCTGTATTACAACTTGTCTCCAACAATCGCTGCATCTGAAATACAATCTGACAACAGATTTGGGCATCTTGTGCCTGAATGACAATGCCTTCTCCCTCACTCTTTGGACAAATTGAAGGGCTCAAAGTCATAGATCTTTAGGTTATGCTCATCCTTATATTCTCCTTTCCTTGTCCCTTAGTATCTTCATGCCCTCCCAACTAACCCCCTTCCTGTTTTGAATGCTTCTGGAATCCCTACACTCTCAGCTTCCCCAGACCTCATGTGATTTGGAATTCTTCCTCAGGACATTCATTCTGCCATCAAGGCAAGACTGCATCTATAGGCCCCTGTAGCTATTCCCTCCACCAGCTGTAAAACCCTTCCATCCTACTGAGTTGCCATCTTCCTCCTTGAAGCCCATCACCTATTTCCATCACTACTCCTATTTACCCAGGATATGGGGAAGTGGTGTCCAACTTCTACCCTGCCATCATCTAGTTGACTAATGTACTCAAGCAACATCTTGGTTCTTTCTTTCCTGATTTCTTTAACATTATCACTCTTGCCTCTATCAATCACCATATCTAGATTTTATTCATCACTTAGAACCATTTTACCTGTGAGACCTTGAAGTTCAACAACCTAGTCTCTGATCACAGTTAGCGCTCCCTCTTTCTGAGCATGCTCTTCAGCCTCAATGGACTCTCTGAGCACTGTTCTTCAAATCAGTCTTCCCAGCTTCCCATAGTTTTCAGTTACAATATCATTAGTGCCCTAATTCTCGCCCCATCACTAACACCTAACCTTAGGTAGGTCCAGTCATTCTAAAGCTATTTTATGCCAAGCATTGGTGGCACATACTATAACCCTAGCTACTCAGGAAGCAAATATCTAAAGATTGCCTTTCAAAGCGAGGCCAGCCAGGAAAGTCCAGGAGACTCTTATTAACCACCATTTTAATTTCATTTTTTTGCCAGTTGTGGGGCTTGAATTCAGGCGCTAGGCACTGTTCCCTGAGCTCTTTCGCTCAAGGCTAGTGCTCTACAACTTTGAGTAGGGCTGTGGCTCAAAGTTGTAGAGCACTAGCCTTGAGCGAAAGAGCTCAGGGAACAGTGCCTAGCGCCTGAATTCAAGCCCCACAACTGGCAAAAAAATGAAATTAAAATGAAAAATAAAGCCATTTTATCTATGGTCACATAAATGATCATTAATTACAGAGGCACCGTCGGACCTTGTCCTCTTCTTTCACTATCTTTAGCGACTATTTATTTTATTATTTTTTTGGGGGGGGGTCCGGTCGTGGGGCCTGAACTCTGGGCCTAGGTGCTGTCCCTCAGCTCTTCAGCTCAAGGCTAGCCTTCTACCACTTGAGCCACAGCGCCACTTCTGGCTTTTTCTTTTTGCTTATGTGGTGCTGAGGAATCGAACCCAGGGCCTCATGCATGCAAGGCAAGCACTCTATCACTGAGCCACCTTCCCAGCCCCTTTAGTGACTATTTAAAATCTTCACTTCAATGCTACTCAACCAATACCTAATCTTCCTATTATCACCTTTTACTTCACAGAGGAAAAAAAAGATCAGAAGAAAACATGTATTCTATCCTTCCTCTAAAGTGAACTATATTATACAGCTACTTTCTTTCCTTTGATCTCAGAAGAAAGGAATCTCCTTTGAAGTCAACTAGTTCACTGTAATCCCACCTTCTCCTGTATTTTCTGTATGCTCACTCCACCATTCATCTGTCTTCTCTGTTGTCAACTTCCCTATACATTAATGTTCTCCAAACTTAAAAAAAGCATTTTTCCCAACTCTGCTTCCTTCCCGAGCTACTTAATTTCCCTATCTCCATTTCCTCACCTCCCATCTCAGTTTCCTTTTTCTGGTTTCTGACTCTTCTACTTTGTAGGAACTTCTTTCAAAGGACTAACAGGGACTTTCTGATTCCTAGATCTCAGTTTCTCTTTACTATTCATCCTCTTACACCCACATATCGTAGATAAAACTGACCACTTAAATTTCTGTGTCTTACACTCTTCACTTCTCTAACCTCTGATTGTTGTTTGTCATTCTTTTCACTCATTTCTTTCCTCTGTCTGTGTAGAATTGATTATAGTCCCTAGGTTCCAGATTTACTTTCTTCTTCCTTCACATAATATCCCTGTCTCCTACTTCTCTATCTCCAGCCTTGACTTTTCTTCTAACTTCCAGAGCAATCCATCAAACTGGCTTTTGGTTCTCTCCTTTTGGATGTCCAAAGGCATTCAAAAATACAGACCCTATTAAACCTCTCTCAAAATTCTTTCTCCTTCTCCTTGGCATCATCTTCTTCATAAGCACAACATTTTTATATCTTTTTCTAATTCCTCCTTTTCTCTTAGGCCTCCACTTAAACATCAGTAACTCTATAGTATGTCTGTATACTACTTATGTTCAGGCTATTATCCAAATCCATGATTTAAACAAAGGACCATGATTTCCAGCTGAGTTACCTGGAAGAGGACAGGACCATTTCAAAACCTGGTTTTTTGTATTATAGGATTTGATAAAAGATGATGTTTACTTACTAACCCAGAAGCAGTGATTGAGTATGAAGGATGGATGGAATTGCTATCTTACTCCTCAAAAAAAAAAAAGGCACCTCCTAGGACAAACTCACTGCCTCTGTGACACAGGCAATGTTCTAATCTGCTTTAAGAGCAGGCTGAAGGGTAGTTTATCTTACCAGCTCTTTGCTGAAAAGGAAAGGGACACTTGTCTTGCTGCAAACAGCCCAATTGATGAAATTCTGCACATGTTCAAATTGACGGTTGAGAACCATTATGCTCTGTAACTGCTGTTCCAGCTTCTGTTTTCTTTCATTAGTGATGCCCTATGCACAGAGACAGAAGACAGAGTACCTAATCCTGTTCACGGACGTTGGGAAGTCGGACGGTCTTGTCTGTATCAGCAAGAACACTGATGGAATCAGATGAGACTGCACCCCTGAGTGCCAGACAGCAGGACAGAGTGCTGCCATGGTCTTCTGACAGATGTAAAAAGGAGGGAGAGGTGGTGGAGAAACTGTAGTGCAAATATAGAATGGACAAGGAATGGAGAAATAAGTGAATGCCTACATCTCTTAGGCATAACCTATTGGAGAAGGTGGGGTGTTTTGTGACTAAAAATCTGCTCTGTTGAGAATGGCACTTGCCTAAGGGTCATTGCAGTGATAAGAGTATGAATTGAGTTTCTAACCATTAACCCCCCCAAAATCAGAATGGAAATATTAAGTTTAAAAAAAAAAGCAGATAGCTGTGGAAACCAAATATCTAAATTCTAGCTATGCTGCTTCTGGCCCTAGGACTAATTTTATGTGTGCCTGGCTTCTGTCCCAGTGAAAGCAGAGAACTAATCCATCTAGCCACATATACCTCCAACTCCTCTATGAGTCCATTGGCCTGTTTGTTCAGTTCATTCATTAGAACCATCTTGGCCATTTTGATCTGGTTTTCCACCTTTCTGTGCTGATGCTTCACTTCAAAAATCCTGTAAACAAATGGGACAAAATACAATGAGCCCTTCCCTCATGACCCCTGAGAACTGAGAGACAGCCAACAACTTGAAAGCTTCCTGCTAAGATCAGGATCCAGCAGATTCCAGACAAGGAAAAGAAAATTTCCTCCATCACCACCCTTTACAACTTAGTCCCCTTGATCTGAGTGGGACAATGGCTCAATGGCTCAAAGTTCAACATGGATTTTCTAGGTAAGCCTGAAGTCCACATCCAGGGCAACCCAGAAGAGCTTACCAACTGACACAGTATGAAAGGCCAAACAAAGAGTTAGGTATATGATTTCATGTCATTTACTCTCTTAAAAAGGAGGATGTGGGGCTGGGAAGGTGGCTCCGTGGTAAAATGCTTGCCTTGCATATATGAGTCCCTGGGTTCGATTCCTTAGCCACATAAACAGAAAAAGCCGAAAGTGGCGCTGTGGCTCAAATGGTAGAGCCCTAGCCTTGAGCTGAAGAGCTGAATGACAGCATCCAGGCCCAGAGTTCAATCCCCATGACTGACAGGGGAAAAAAAAAAAAAAAGGATGTTCAAGATGGTCAGCTGGGTGCCGGTGGCTCATACCTGTAATCCTAGCTACTCAGGTAGCTGAGATCTGAGGATCATGGTTCAAAGCCTACCAGGGCAGGAAAGTTCATGAGACTCTGATCTCCAATAAACTACCAGAAAACCAGAAGTGGCACTGTGGCTCAAGTGGTAGAGTACTAGCCTTGAGCTGAAGAGCTGAGGGACAGCACCCAGGCCCAGAGTCCAAGTCCCATGATGGACCAAAAAAAAAAAAAAAGGAGGATGTTCCCAAAAAAGGGTCAAAAGGTAAAAATAGCAGAGGGAAACAGAAAAAAAGACTAGAGGTTTCTGAGGACCATAGGTGGTGGAAGGGGGAAAAGAGTGACAATGTATATGGGGTCTCTTTTGAGGGGAGATGAAATGTTTTAAGAGTAGACAATAATTATATAAACAATTTCACAATTCTGTGACGTACCAAAAGACCAAAGAATTATGATTTTTTTTTTTGCTAGTCTTGGGGCTTGAACTCAGGGCACGGGCTCTGTTCCTGAGCTTCTCTGTGGTAGCTTCTATACCGCTTGAGCCACAACTCTACTTCTGGCTTGTTCTATGTAGTTTATTGGAGATAAGAGTCTCACAGACTTTCCTGCCCAGGCTGGTTTCAAACCTTGATCCTCAGATCTCAGCTGACTAGGATTACAGGTGTGAGCCACCGGTGCTCAGCTATGCATTCTTAAAATGTTGATTTTATGCATATAAAAATTATGTTTCAATAAAGCTATTTTAAAAAGAAAGACTTTGAAATCTTGAAGTCTCCACAGACCTAGCTTGCAAACTAGCTCAGTTATGTTATTAGCTATGTTATCTAAATTATCTATACTCTGAACCTTGGCCTCCTCATCAGTAAAATAGAGAAAGCCCTTACTGAAACTATTACAAGAATTGAAGCCAGATCCCGGAGGTTCATACCTATAATCCTAGCTACTCGGGATGCTGAGATCTGAGGATTGTGGTTTGAAGCCAGCCAGGGCAGGAAAGTCTATAAGACTCTTATCACCAATAAACTACACAAAAAAAGCTAGAAGTAGAGCTGTGACCCAAGTGGTAGAGCACTAGCCTTGAGTAAAAGCTGCTCAGGGGGCTCAGTGGTAGAGTGCTTGCTTTGCATGCATGAGGTCCTGGGTTCGATTCCTCAGCACCACATAAACAAAAAGAAAAAAGCCGGAAGTGGTGCTGTGGCTCAAGTGGTAGAGTGCTAGCCTTGAGCTGAAGAGCTGAGGGACAGCTCCCAGGCCCAGAGTTCAGGCCCCACAACCGGACCCAAAAAAAAAAAGCTGCTCAGGGACAGAGCCCAGTCCCTGAGTTCAAGCCCCAGGACTGGCAAAAAAATTAGAAAATAAAAATAAAATATTTTTTTAAAGAATTGAAAAAAAGTAATGTTGTTCTCCCGTGTGATGTGTTTATAGTTCCTATTCTTTTATTTATTTATTTTTGGTGGGTAGTACGGCTTGAACTCTGGGCCTGGGCACTGTCCCTTAGCTCTTCAGTTCAAGGTGAGCTTTCTACAACTTGAGCCATAACACCACTTCCGGTTTTCTGGTGGTTAATTGGAGATAAAGAATTTTATGGGCAGGGTGCTGGTGGTTCACTCCTGTAATCCTAGCTACTCAGGAGGCTGAGAACTGAGGATCGCAGTTCAAAGCCAGCCTGGGCAGGAAAGTCCGTGAGACTCTTATCTCCAATAAACCATTAGAACACCAGAAGTGGCGCTATGGCTCACGCGATAGAGCGCTAGCCTTGAGCTGAAGAGCTGAGGGACAGCGCCCAGGCCCAGAGTTCAAGCCCCACAACTGACAAAAAAAAAAAAGAGTTTCATGGACTTTCCTGGCTGGGCTGGCTTTGAACCATGATCCTCAGATCTCAGCCTCCTGAGTAGCTAGGATTACAGGTGTGAGCCACAATGCCCAGCTAGTTCCTATTCTTTCTATATAAAATACCAATGGTTTCATGTCACTTGTAGGTTTACATGGAAAACCCTAGGAAAAGAAGTGATCAAAGTCAGAGTACCAGCAACCTGTTACAGCCTCATAATAAACTGTACCTGTACTGTGCACCCTTGTTCTCAGACACTCAGTTCTGGCTAGTTCACAGGCATGTACATTGGCCCAACCTGAACTAGCTTGTCCTCAAGTCACCAACTGGTGACTGGAAGACCCATCATTGGCCTTGAGTCCTCTTAAGGCCATGCTGTAGGCCTTCTAGAACATCTGCTCACACCTGCTTAATCACATGTCCTAGAACTCAGGATGTGAGGGAGCAAAACATTTACAGTAATGGCAAGGCATTTGCCTAAGCTACCTGTCCTCAATTTGCTTTGCTGATGTCTGTAGACTGGATTTCTTATGTGCCACCTGGGTAGTCACACTTTCCAGAAGCATCCTCTGGTTTTGTAGAACTTCTTCAACATGTCTGCACCTAGGGTGAAGAGACAAAAGCAAAAGCTGAGAAAAAAATTATTCCTATCCTAAGTCAAGCAAGAATTCTACTTTCACTGCACTGTCTCAGCTAGGCCCCCAGAGTACATAAATTACATTTGGAGATAGTCAAAGGCACTGCAGACTCTTTTCCTATTGAGTCTTTTCAAGAAGTCACACAACTGCAACAAAGAGCTACAGATTGGCTTAGGCAGAGACAGAATTATTCCCCCTTGGGATTGAGTCTCATTATGTAGCCAGGCTGGCCTCAAAGTCATGATCCCCCTGCCTCAGCATCCCAAGTGCTTGGATTACAGGTATGTGCCACCTTGCTCTGCTTCCAGGAGAGGTTCTTGATGCCTTGGTAGCCCAGCACTCTCCACGTATGTAGTTCAGAGCCTTCCCAAGCTCACTTCAAGCAACTCACCTGTGTTCCTTGTGTTCCACCATTAGGCAGCTATGGCATGTGAGCACATCACAGGTCTCACAGAAGAGCTTGAGCACTTCCTGTGTGTGTAGAGGACAGTACAAAGCAAAGTCCCCAGAACCACCATTCACTCCTGCCAGAGAAAATAGAGAATGTAGGCTTCTCCTGCCATGTAGACCACTCAAGAGTCCACTGAGCAGACCTCGGTCTTTAAATAACACTGCAGGAGAAGGGGTGCAAATGAGAAGTGTCTTCCTGCAGGACAGGAAGGATCCAGGTGTACAAGTTGGAATTCTAGCTTAGTCTGGCTCATTTGTTCAGCTGTCCCAAAATAGCATATCATTATACTAGCATGCTACCATATGTCAGAGGTGAGAAGGAGCTTGCTACTTCTGTGCATGTATGTTCCAAAATTAACCTAAACTTCTTCATTCATCAGGATCCTGTTGTTATGGGGATGAAACCAGCTACTCAGCCTTGCTAGGCTCCAGAAGAGACCACATCGATGACAAATTCTGTTTCCTGTGGGCGTGACAAACATAAATCCCCTCCCACAATTCAAGGGCCTTAGAAAAATACATGTCAAGGAGATTGTCATTTAAAACAGACATTACTGGATGGGCAAAGAGGTAAGTCCTCTTCTAGACTGTTAAGTCACTTAATGTGGAAGGTAAGAATTCAGCTAGCTTCCATGATGATTCAAGATTATGCTATGCTCCTGGCACTATCTCACCCACACTTGCATAGCCCATCCTGATAAGGAGAGGCTAGAGTGAGTCACTCCTTTGACTCTTAAGCAGACTTACTTCCTTTACAAAAGGCTCTGAAACCATTCCAACTATCTATTTCCTGCAGCTAGGAAACAAGCTTGGAGAGCTTTTAGAGTTCAAATGTGCTTTAGAGCCCAAGGCAGGTAAGGAGAGGGAGAACTGTACCTGAAGATCCTTTCTGAGCTCGAGAGAAGACTGGACCCCCAGGGGCAGGACCATGCCGGTGCTCCTCTGTGCAGGAGCTGCACAGCCAGCGATTGCAGTAGGTGCAGAGGATGTGTGCTGCCCTCTTCTCCTTGCACTCGGAACAGTTCTAAAAGCAGAAAGTTGGCTGTTATTGACCATATCCTCCTTGTGTCTTCCTCTACAAGTTGCAAATGCTAATGCTACAGAGACTAGGGCCCTGAAGGGTTGTTCCTCCAAGACTTTAAAGTGTGGCTACTAGAAAGCTACTGGAAGTACTGGTGAGGGAAAGCACCCTTTGTGACTAAATGAGAAGAGTCCACCTAGGGCCCTTTCACACAAGTCCTATGCTAAAGCTGAATACTCTAACAAGCCAAGGATCTGCCCTCAAAGCATATACAGATTGAGCAGGTTGATACCATTTAAGTGGATAATGCTGTGATATATAAGATGTCACAAGTAATTAAGAACCAAAAGGAGGTTTTCAGCCTAGGAAAGTTTTCACCAAAAGGTAATACTTAACTTGGTTATTGAACGATAAACATGATCACCAGGAAGACAAGGGAGGGAAGAGTTACAACAGAGGGAAAACAGAGAGGGGAGAAAAGCTTCAGATGTGGAGATACACAAAAAGGTGACATATACAGGCAAGAAAGAGCAAATATAGACCACCTTTGAGAGTTTCAGATTTAAAGTTTCCACACCTGGGATCTGCCTGGCCTGAGAGTATTTGTTCCTCTCCTATCTAAATGTTCATTCATTTGGGAATACATAGCATGCCAGGGTTGATATGAACCATCTGCAAAAGAGGAGGTTTGGAAAAACTACACCTGCCTGTGCCTGACTCATCCACCACACCGATGTGGATTCTGAATTTTACTAATTAAACTACAAATTCTCTAGAAGTAGAATTCATATTCTGACTTCCGATCACCTCGGACAGGGCCCTGGCGTATAACAGATATTCAATAAGAATTAGACATAGGAAGAAGTAAATAATAAGAATGCCCTAGTAGAGTGGGAAACTGAAGAGATATCGGACAGTAAGTTATATAAAACTTGCACAAAAGATGATAGTTGCTAAGTACAGGCAAAACTAATGAACCTATTAAATCCAGGATGGTATGTGAATTTCACCTGAGAGAAAGGGGCATAAAAGCCCACTACTGTTATTTTTCAGTAAGAATTATGAGGAAAAATACCTAGCTAAATTAAGCAATGCTTAATAATTAAGTAATGCACATTCACCTTCCAGTAAAAGTACTGACACACAACAGGGTGGAAAGCATGTAATTTTCACTTAATAGAAAAAAAACTACATTTCTTTTCTTTTTTTCTTTTTTTTTTTGGGGGGGGTCCGGTCATGGGGACTGAACTCTGGGCCTGGGCGCTGTCCCTCAGCTCTTCAGCTCAAGTCTAGCGCTCTACCACTTGAGCCACAGTGCCACTTCTGGCTTTTTTTTCTTTTTGCTTATGTGGTGCTGAGGAATCGAACCCAGGGCCTCAGGCATGCAAGGCAAGCGCTCTACCACTGAGCCACCTTCCCAGCCCCTACATTTCTTTTCTTAATTCAAATATTTTTATTTCCTTCCAGATAGAAGGAAGAAAGGATGGATGAATAGAGGGATAGATGGATGACTAGGAAAACTGATAGAAGAGTAACAAGTAGGAGTGATAAGTGGAGAGACTTATACAGACAGGGGCCCCAAAAAGGATCACCTGTTTATTTCTTTGTCCTGACTTACCCTGGCCATTTTGGGTTGCCAAGGAGGAAAGTGCTGCAGAAAAAAGTGTTCAGTTACATCCCTGGTAAGATATGCTCGCTTACACCCAGGACAGGAGATGAACTCTAGGAAGGGAGGGAAGAGAAGGACAAGAGTCAAAACAACAGAACAGATTATACATAAGACATAAACAGAGGTATGTAGCAATACTTGCTTTTGCCATAGGATTCTTTACATTCATAGACTGTTGTTCATTCATCTGTCTTTGGGAGGGTAAGGGAAGGCACAGAAATGGAGGGACAAAGGGTGACAAGTACAGCAGTCACTAGACACTATGTTAAGAATGAACCATATAACTTGTGGGTGAGGATGGAAGAGAAAAACTGGGAGAAAGCAAGGGATGGAGTGACATTGTCTAAAAAGAAATGTACTTATTACCTGACATATGTAACTGTATACCCTCCCTCTGTACATCTTTTTTTTTTTTGTCATGGGGCTTGAACTCTGGGCCTGGATGCTGTCCCTCAGATCTTCAGCTCAAGGCAAGTGCTCTACCACTAGAATCACAGCGCTACTTCTGGTTTTCTGGTGGTTCATTGGAGCTAAGAGTCTCACAGACTTTCCTGCCCAGGCTGGCTTTGAACCATGATCCTCAGATCTCAGCCTCCTGAGTAGCTAGGATTACAGGCGTGAGCCACTGGCACCTGGCTTTGTACATCATCTTTATAACAACAATAAAAATATAAATAACTAAATAAAACCATACACTGAATGTGAGCATCCTATCAGAGGCCTGCTGTACAAACCATCTGGCCTCCTCACAGTCTTTTCTTTGGTCCTGCCTTCCTCTCCTCCCCATAAGCCATGCTGCTACAAGCCCAAGCCTACTGTGCGCTTCTGGTGGTACAAGCAGGTGCCTTCATGCTGCTCCCAGTTCCTCATTCCATGATAGCCCAGCTCCCACCACTGACAAGTTTGTTTATCCCAGAACAGTTACTTCAGAGGTCTCAAAGCTAGAACTTGTTCCAGAAGGGTCCATTCAGAGAAAGAAAGGGTCTCCCAACATGTTCATATAGTAGATATTTTTTAGTGTAGTCAGTACTGGCCAGTCAGCCCCTGGGGCTGGACTACCTCCATCTAGTCCATTTTGGGTACAGCTGTGGACAGCTTGACTTTCTCTCCCCAGAGGAATGCAACAGTCTTTGGCATTCCTTAGCACAGTGAGCTTCTGAGTGACGTAGGCAGCATGAGATTGTCACTTCAGACCCACTAATAGCAGTTGGCCCACTAGGAATAAGGAAATGAATCTCCTGAGTTGGGCAGGTACCTGTGTTCAGGGATGAGGCTGGTCTGAAAGACTGGCTATGACACTGATTGCCACAGAACTGCCACACCTTTTCTGCTCAGCTCCGAAATATAAATGTTAATGATACAATTATAGTTGCTCTAGACTTTTAGTCAGACAAATATAAGTCAAATACAAGGTTAATACCCAGTGACTTTTTTGTTGTGATTTTGTTTGCTTGCCTGTTTGAACTCAGGGTTATGAGCTCTTGCTCAGTGGTATTGCTCTAGCACTTCAGCTATGCATTTTTGGTAGTTCTCAGGAACTTTTCTGCCTGGATTGCCTTTGAACCAGTTCTTAGCCTCTTAAGTAGTTAGGATTATAGACTTATACCACTAGAACACCTGGCTATCCAATGATCTTGAACAAGTAATTCCTTGTGTCCTTTTTATTCTATGTAAAGCAGAAAGGGAAAATAAGAATTGCTGTGATACCTAGGAAAGGTGGTACACACCTATAATCCCAGTATTTGGAAGGGCTGGAATAGGAAGATGGTCAGCTCAAATCCAGCCTGGGTCACATAGCAAGCCCTGTCTCAAAAACACTGAGACAGACAGACAGGTAGACATCAGGAGAGAAAGATAGGGGGAGGAAGAGAGAGAGAGGGAGAGAGACAGAGATAGAGACAGAGAGACCCTGTAACTGTTAAATTAGATAATGTGAGAAAACATGTAGTTTTCCATGAATTTGACTTTGAATTTCATGGTAAGGTAACAAACACCATTATAAATTTCTCTGGTGATGAAAATCAAATAGTCAGAATTTTGAAAAAAAAATGACCATAAATTCTTCCTCTCACTCCATCTATTCTCTCACAAACCTACCATCAAAAAGGTCTCTTCACCTTTTGAATCTAGTCTGACAGTGAGACCGAAAGAATGCAACAAAACCCCAACAATGAACAAAACCCCAGCCTTGACTTCAAAAGGCTTTATGATTTTGCTCTTGCTCTCTGATGTCTACAAATTGCCATGTGAAAAATATCAGCTGGGGTTTAATTGCTAGAAGGTGACAGATACCACAGTCATAGAGGCCTCAGTCATCTCAGGCCCCTGCGCCCCAAGGCCATCCTAAACCAGCTACATCCAAGTGACCCTCCAGTTTAATGCAGACACAGGACTAAGTAAAGTCGAGACTAACCAAACTCAGCTTAGCATAGAACCACCCAGAGAATCGTAGCCAGATTGCCATTCAGAAACTGAATGAAGTTTAATTGTTTTAAGCTCTAAGATTTAGGGTGGCTTTTTATGTAGTCAAAACTAATTGTCTAGAAATGGCGCTGTGGCTCAAGTGGTAGAGCGCTAGCCTTGAGCTGAAGAACTGAGGGACAGCACTCAGGCCCAGAGTTCAAGCCCCACAACTGACAAAAAGAAAAAGAAAAAAAAAGAAATTTATGAGGTTGGAAGGTGGCTCAGTGGTAGAGTGCTTGCCTTGCATGCATAAGGCCCTGGGTTCGATTCCTCAGCACCACATAAGCAGAAAAAGCCGGAAGTGGTGCTGTGGCTCAAGTGATAGAGCGCTAGCCTTGAGCTGAAGAGCTGAGGGGCAGTGCCCAGGCCCAGAGTTCAAGCCCCACAACCAGAAAAAAAAAACTAACTGTTATAACCTGGACAAATCAAAACCCTTTAACTGTATAAAGCCATAGTTCAATATCCTCCTCCAAAATAAAAATTCCCCAGTCATTGCAGAGCCATGGAACTTGACTACAGAGTTTCACTTGGAATTTCCCAAGTATTTTCCTGCTGGTCAAGAACAATGGCCAGAGCAGAGAAGGATACTCTCCACAGGTGATATCACTTGGGGTACCCTCCCTACCCCAAATACCTCCAAAACTAAAATGGTACTCTAATTGTTGAAAATGAAATACCACAGACTCCCAACTCTCTGCGAGCAGATGCCCAGACATTAATCATAGTAACATAGCATCATTAACAGGATGAAAAACAAGAACTGAAATAGATCAAACGAGACCTCACCACACATCCTCTACCTCCCTTAGCCTTAAAGCCCCAAAACCTCAGTATGGCATTCAGGGTCCTTTCTAAATTGGCCCTACTTCCCTCTAGTCTGTCTCATCTGCATCTCCATCTTGCCATGCACCCTATGACATTGTCATGTCAAATACCTCTACTATCTCCTGAATAGGCTGAACCCTTTCATGACTGACAATCCTATTCCCACTTGTGAAAGGACTTTCTTAGCCAGGCACTAGTGACTCATGCCTGTAATCCTAGCTCCTCAGAAGGCTGAGATCTAAGATCTCAGTTCAAAGCCAGCTCAGGCAGGAAAGTGTGTGAGACTCCAATATACTTCAATCTCCAATACACTACTTAAAAAAAAATGGAAGTGGAACTGTGGCTCAAGTGGTAGGTAGAGTGATAGCCTTGAGCAAAAGAAAGAAGCTCAGGGACAGCACCCAGGCTCCAAGGAGTCTCAGGACTGGCACACACATACAAAAGTACCCTTTCTTGTTCCCCACCTTTTCAGAACAAATTCTATTCATCCTTTCAGCCCTGTTCAAATGTTCCACCTTTAAGAAGCAGGGTTGATTTCCCCTAGGATGAGTTAATTAGTCCCTCCTTGAAAATCTTTCTAGTATAACAAGTATCACACTGCATCTTTAACTACCTGTTCATATGTTATATATAAAAATAATCCACAATTGTCATTAAAGGAAATTACCTGTTTGGTTTTTTTTTAGCAGATTGGACAACTATATTTCTTTTGGGTTAGTGTATTCTACATGCATTCTTTGACTCAGAGGCCCTGAAAGTAGTAAGAAGCCACCTGGAAGTTTTCCTGGATGATGGGAGAAAGCCAACCTGAGATGATAAAGCAAAGCACAGATGTGTTGCTTGGCTTTGAGATATAAGTTCCAGGCCCAGGGCCCATACTATCTGATTGTGTAACTGTGGGTGAGTCACTACCTTTCTCTGAACCAAATAGTTAAAATGTTGGGAATAAGAATAGCAGGGAAGGGCTGGGAAGGTGGTTCAGTGGTAGAGTGATTGCCTCACATGCATGAGGTCCTGGGTTCAATTCCTCAGCACCACATAAACAGAAAAAAAAAGCCAGAAGTGGTGTTGTGGCTCAAGTGGTAGAGCATTAGCCTTGAGCTGAAGAGCTGAGGGACAAGGCCCAGGCCCAGAGTTCAAGCCCCACAACTGACAAAAAAAAATTTTTTTAAGGGCTGGGAAGGTGGTTCAGTGGTAGAGTGCTTGCCTTGCATGCATGAGGCCCTGGGTTCGATTCCTCAGCACCACATAAGCAGAAAAAGCCAGAAATGGCGCTATGACTCGAGTGCTAGAGTACTAGCTTTGAGCTGAAGAGCTGAGGGACAGTGCCCAGGCCCAGACTTCAGCCCCATGACTGGCCAAAACAAAC